ATGACTGTGTGTGTCTGCGTGTCTACCTACCGCCAAATCCTGCACCTTATTCACATGAAGCCAAACACAAGCGCGCACACCTACAAATGTACCAAATGCTAAAAAAGCACGCAACACTCCTTGCCGCGCAAAATTTATCACTCATACGCCGTGCTTACCCACGGCACCTAACACCCACCGCGCGCCAGCAGTTGTCCTCATTCAAATGACAAAAAATGTGGAAAAAACGGAATAAAAATGCATGCGTTTCAGTTATGAAGTCGCACTGTGTGGCAGAGCGGGTGGCAGACGCGTGCGTCGGGCGCTAATGTTGCCTGGTTTTTACACAATTTTTCGTAAACGAAAGTCAAAATGAAAATTACGTAAAAAATGTGCACACGAAAAAAGTCGCAACTGTAAAACAGTGTAGTCACTAAGTGCAGGCGTGTTGTTGGTGCGAGGTAGCACGCTGGCAGCGAAATGAAACGAACCGCCGAATGAGCGAATGCACGAACAAGCAAACGAATCAACATTCCAGTATGCGAAAAAAAGTGTTGCGGTAAAAATGCATAGAAAGCAAAAAGTGGTAAAAAACCGATCGATATGATGCACTCATTTCTGTCTGGTGCGCAGTGTGAAGAGCGTAACCTCGCCGCACGTTTCACACCCCGCGCGACGCGCCGCACGACCAATGTACCGCTGTCAGTTCAGCCAAAACCAAGCCCACTCATCCCTCCCTTCCACTCACGAGCTCTTATTACAACAGACTTCCGACCTTCCCTACGAAAAAATATACCGAACTGCAGTTACTGCGCTGCAACGGTGCAGACACACTCACACGGCTACACGCTGCCATACACAAAAAGTATACATGATAATAAACGCTCGAAAAACCAAATTTGCAACGTCAGATTTTTTGTGAAGAGCTTTTTGATTGTGTCCTCGTAAAAATTAATTTGAGGCAAGCGGCCCGACAGGACAAGACGATGCCAGTGTATGTAGGTGCTGATGGTGATGGTGAGGGTGGTGCGCCGAAAATAAGGTTGTGTGTCTAAAAGGGGTATGTATGTATGTTTGTAGGTGTGCCCATTATTTTAGCTGCGCGTTCGTTGTCTTTAAAGCACAGACACAAAGTGGAGGACACCAAAGCAGACAAATTGTTGTAAGCGACGGTAGCTGGTGGCTGCTGACTGCTGCCGGGTGGTGGTGACTGCCGACTGCTTTGCTCGTCTGAACTTGAGTTAAGTACGTTGGCACTGTCAAGACAAGGCGTTCGCTGGGGGCGCAACGGCTGTAAAATAGCCGGCTGTGGGCGGAAGACCCCTTAGGGACAGCTGTCATTATTTTCATGTTCGCTTAACAAATATTGGCGCAATTAATTTAGTTGCATGCAAATTTTTGCAAAATATTGCCAATTAATCGTGTTGGCGCGACGCATCGCCGATAAACAACAACTACATGCATAATTCTGACTTGATAGGGAAAATTATTAAACAAGCGTTATATTGAAGTTGAATAAATGAAACTTACGTTCAATTGGATGGGACACTTGAATAATGAAAGAAGAATTTGAAAGATATTAATTCATTAAAAATTCTGTTGCAAGAAAATTGGTATACTATTAAAAGAAAATATCTGATTGCAGCAGCATTTTTGAGATACCTCATTCTACATTTTCTGAAAATACCTCCATAATTTAGTCAGTTAAGCAATTTCTCTTTTAAATGAGTAAAGAGTTTGCTAATTAAGTCGATTAAGGAGCTCTTGTCTGAAACAACATTCTTGAATATACGTCCATAATAGAGTCAATTAAGCAATTTTCTTTTTAATATACACAATTTGATAATTGAATCAATTAAATTGTTGTTGTCTCTCATTCAATTTACTTTGGTGTCAGTTTTGTCATAATCACAGTCGTTTGTATTACTTGAAGATATTTTCCGAAAACTTTGTTCCTACAAATATTTTCGAAAATATTAGCGTGTTAGTAGAAAGATTTCAACTTGGTCTGATCAGCTCCCAAAACCTTAAACGGGTTTTTCTCAATACTCTGGTTTCAGTGTCGCTGTAGAAAATGTCACCGAATAATGGATTGAAATTTCTACAAGAGTTTTTTGCCTGTATACAAAATAGAAGGAATAAGATTTTTTAAAACAATTTCTATTTCTGAAACTGAAATGTGTGTTTAAAAACCCTTTCTTTATATTTTATTTTCAAAAATCATCATTTTCTCAAAAATTAACTAACCCTTCGATCGTTTTCCGTATCCATCACTAGCAATTATTAATTCTCCTAAGGTTTAACATTTGAAAAAATGTTATACCGACAAAAAATATTCTGATAATAATTTTATTGTCATTTAATAAGCACTGAACTAAAAAAAGTTAATGTCGTTCCAGTAACGAAGTACCGGCAGTCGTAAGAACAGTTTAGGAATAGTAGTCAGATTCGAAGTAGCATCGATAATATTGTTTATCCATTATACTATAGATTCATCTTTCTCAACTGAGCTGATTAACCTATTATTTTTATAATAAAAGAATGAAATAGAAACAGGATCTGGTTTCTTCTGTAGTAATCCATACACAGAAGGTGGTAGCTTCAAACTAAATGACTACAACTCAGTCTTTCACGTCATACACGGGGCATACCAAAAAGTTACTTAGAGTTAGTGTTATTGGCGAACAGACTTCTAGGCAAAAGGCCGCTTAATAATATTGTAGAGGACATCAGAGGGTACATACCCTTAAGATCGCATTTTCAGAAAATAGGAAAATTGGATTCGGCGGAATGCATAGCATGTGCGGAAGATAACGAAACGCTGGAATATTATCTACGCGAACTCCTAGCATTCAGTCGTATGAGACGTAACATATTCCACGGTTCCCGAAACTCAAACTTTAGACCGATTGGACAGTTAGGGTTGAAAAGTATTAGGTTTGTTATTAACTCCACTGAGCTGCTGGATAAGGCTTAATCTTATCCTGAGTGCAAACGCCTGCAACAAAGGACTGCCATTAAATTTTGCTTGCGATACTAATTACTGGTCCCGAAACGTTCATAATATTCAAAAAGATCTTCGGTAATAATTGTTTGTCGCAAGCAAGTGTTTTTGATTGGTACAAATTATTCAAAGAGGGACGAGAACACGTTGACAATGAACCACGCCCAGGACGGCCATCAACATCAACTGATGATCAGCATGTCAATAAAATAAAGGAATTGGTATTTGAGAATTAACGATTAACAGTCAGAAATCTTACTGGCGAATGATCAAAGAATCAAAGAAAACCATTTTGAAGAATCTTGCGAAACCTTGCGACCAAGAAAAGTGCCAACACTATTGGTTCCAAAACTACCCAGTTTTTTCGAAAAATAGCGTCGCGTTAACATATTCATAGTTTCGTGTGAATTCTGACCGGGGAAAGCCGTTTAAAGGCAATTGAAAACATTAAACGTGAATCGCTACTCGCATTCAAAGCTATTCCGGAAATTGACTTTAACAAATGTTTCGGGAATTGGAAAAACGTTGGCACAAGTGTTTTGGGACTAAGTGGGATTATTTTGAGGGCATGACGACAAAGATTTTGAAGAATAAATTGAGAATTTTAAAATAATGAACAGAGTTTTACTAATTTTTGCCCACAGAGTATATGATACATAACCGAAGGGACTAAATTTAATATATTGAGCTTTTGTGGAAAACGTCAACCAAAGGATCGAAAAACGAACGAATGGTTTCTCAACGTTACCTTATTTGCCATAAAACTGGCATATGGATATTATTTTTACTGCCATTATTGCCCGAAACTAACTTTCATATTAAATTTAAGTGAAATACTTACTAAAAATATTAATAAAAATTTACTTAGTATAAACATGATATACTAATCATGAGTATTTGGTTTGAATATGGCACACATGCATCATACTTATTACAGCAACAGTGTCACTAATTAGGAAATCCCCGAGTTATGAAACCATTTCCACTTGCAACACTATTGAGTAACGATTACTCTTGCATATTTTGCAAGTGCATACAAACAGTTATCTATGTATATACATATACTATATATCTCAGCATTTTTATCAACCATTGGTTATTGATATTGCATAAACACAGCGAAATTCGTCGAAAAAATAATTCTATATCATCATCAGATAAGATTAACGGGCGTTGGTTCAAAAATCTGATTTCAAAATGAAATAAATTGATGTGCATCCATATGTAGGCCCGTGTGTTAGCGTTATTTACATGTGTGCATGTCGCATACGAGTCAAGCGACGATCGATTATGTAACTTACTTCGTCAGCGCTGGCAAATCTGCTTCCGTTCTCGACTCGCCAGGCGCGATTGAGCTAAATATGTTTCCAAATATCGTTATCATTGTTGTTATGTGCTATACACACATACACACAAACTCACAGAATGAATTTACGAAATTCGCCTTTCCGTTTGAGCGTTGCTTTTGCTTTTGTCGCTTACGCGTTCTGGCTATTGCATCGCCTGATAAGTGTGTATTGACAATGAGAAGGTTCAGTGTGCCAATTTTTGTGTAATTTTATTTATAATATTTTTCGTTGTCGTTGTTGTTGTTGCTGTTGCAGTTTATTCGTCATAAATTGATAAACATTTGTAATAAATTTAAATTGCAACAATTTCAATAAAGACGGAATATTTAACTCATATGCAGTTGTAATATAGCTGCTAAATCGTATGAATATTTTTGTTTTTGCTTACGATGTAGTTGAGAATTACAGTTAGCACTGAGCGGTTCGTTGCATCCAATGCAGTAAAGTCAAACTCAAACAGTTCTATTTGAAAATAATTACTTTAAGTATATAATAGAATATTGCAATATCATTTTAAAAGTGTCTTTTAGCATTTTATCAAAAGTTAGGTTAGTTTTTGAAAATCTGTTTATATAACTTAAACATAATTACAACACATAAGTCTTAACTTTCAGCTCCGAAACGCAAAATGCTCTGTAAACTAAAGCAATTACTCTATTCTCTTTCAGCTCTAAGACGATGCGCGCCACGCCCACACTCTCTTCACGTCGCCCCTGCACCGATGATGCATTGAGCAGCGCCGTACAAGAATTTCTCAGCGAAAAGTATAACACACGCAAATCGTCAGACCATTACGCGGGCAGTTCGAGCACGAGCCCAGGACGCGCCAGATCCAATCGCACCGGAGTGAGTGGCAAACGTGCGAATGCCCACCTAGCCAATGCGCTCTTACACGGCATGGACGTGGACAAGGATATGTCCGGCGATGAATGCAGTACTGGCGATGGCCATGCAGGCATAGCTGGTGGCCATTCGAGTAATGCTTCAACACCACAACCAGAAACCGCCACACACACTGCACTCGAGGAGCTCGCCAACCGGCTGAACGCGACACATTCTCTGCGTAAATATTGTGTGAATAATGGCACCGGTGATGCGGGGCGACGCGATGCCGCCAATGATGTCGGCAATTGCAGCAATTTATCACCAAAGTCGAACGCATTATACGTAGATGGCGCTAAGTGTGACGCCGGTACACCGTCGAGCAGCGCTACGCCACAGCCGCAGCAATCACCGCCAGCAGCTGGACTTGATCCCACATTAGCGATTTTGCAGGCATTCCTCTTTACGCTCACCAGCTTCGGCGCTTTACAGCAACGTGCCGATCAGCCGGTAACGCTGCGTGATTTGGTGGCCAATTTGAAGGATATGTTGGAAACACATACCGCGGGTGATTTAAGTGTGGAGGGTCTTTTCAGCAATGGCAAGCCCAATATAATGGATCAACCGTTGTTGGCGCAGAAGCTGCAACAACAAACGTCAGCGTATGCGGCACAACGCTTGCCCAAATCAGATACACCAGAGACCACGAGCTCGTTGGAGCACCATGAGCCGATTGGTGATGATCTGGCTGCGTCGATTCTTAAGATTCCGTCCTATAAGCCAGTGGCAGGCACGCCGACGCCCACATCGGCTGCAGCACGTGCCTCATGCTCGCCATCCTTGCTGTGCAACAATTCCACCGCCAACTCCATGCCAAATCCCAACGGCGATAGTCCGCATTCCGCGCCCTCCCCACGCATCGCCAACTCTATGCTGGCCGCTGCTGTGGCGGCCGCTAGCAATAATGGCAACGCCGCATCTGCCGGCCGTCAGGGCAATAATGATCTATCTGTCATTTCGCCGCCACTAATGCAGCACCGCCAATCACCACCGTCGTTCAGTTTTCGCGATATGATCGCACATGGCATTCACCGCACTATGAACGAGCAGGCAAATCAGGACGCGCATGTCGCCGCCGCTGCTGTTGCTGCAGCTTCAGCGCCAATGCTGGGCCTGTGCTTAGAAATGGAGCGCTCGTCTAACAACAATAGCGGCAGCAGTACGGATCATAAGAAACCTACTATATCGGTGGTGAAGAATATAGGTGGCACCGATACAACACGGTTTGGTGCTGCACCCAATGTCTTGGCCGGTTCGAGTGTGGCTGGTAGCAGTAGCAGCACGCACAACTCACATGGATATCATCAGGCGCACATGCATCATCATCTGCCACATCATCTAAGTCGCCAAGAGGCGGCAGCGCTTGCCGCCGGCAAAGGTACCCGCCCGAAACGTGGTAAGTACCGCAATTATGACCGCGATAGTTTAATCGAAGCAGTGCGCGCTGTGCAGCGCGGCGAGATGTCAGTGCATCGTGCGGGCAGCTATTTCGGTGTGCCTCATTCAACGCTCGAGTACAAAGTGAAGGAGCGACATTTGATGCGACCGCGTAAGCGTGAACCCAAGCCACAGCCCGGACTGGATGGTAGCAGCAGCACGACAACGGGCAAATCAAACTCTAACATTCCTGTTCATCACAACAATCTGAGCAAAATCAAGTTGGGCAACGCTGGCAACAGTAATGTGAATTCTAAGCTCAACGAAGCGCATAAGGGCAATAGTAACTCAGCAGCGGCCGCATTCCCAACCAGCGCACCGAACGGCATAAAAATGCCGCTTTTCGATCCCATCCAATATCCAGCACATTTATTTTGGAATCCCTCGCCAGCCTTTAGCCAAATGCATATGGAATTCAATCGCAATGCAATGGCGGCGCAAAGCGCCAGCGCGGCCCAACGCTACACCGAAGAAGCGCTACGTGGCGTTGGCGGCACATCAGCTGGTACGCCTTCTAACGCCAACAGCCCCAGTCCTATTGCCAGTCCGTTGTCGGCTGCGACAAGTCATACACTCAATATGAAGAGTGCGCGTGAGCTGGCCGAAAATTTGTATGAAAGCGCTGGCGCCAATGGTTCCTCAATACTCGACGGCATCATACGGAAAACGCTCGATCGCAAAAGCACCGATGTGGGACCGCCCAACAGTGCTAGCACTGGCGGTGCACTACTGGACCACTTGCTGGTCAAGAAAAGTGCACTACCACCATATACCAGCAATAACAGTAACGATCATCGCTCACCCCACGCCATGAGCAGTCTACGCGCCAAACGCGCCGCCAGTCCTCTTGCTTATACCGAAATCAAACGTGAACGTGGCAGTCCGCCACACAGTAGCGGTGACGACGATGACGACGACGCCTCACGCAGCGGCAACGACGAAAGTAGCTACGAGCACAACAACAATAACAACAGCAAAGGTAGTTACATCGGCAATAATGAGTTACACCTCCAGCATCAGCCCTTGCACCATCAACAACACAGTCGCAGTCGCAGCCGCTTAACCTCCCACGACTCTGCCGAAACCGATACGAGCAGCATACCTAGCGAGCTCATGACGAATCACAACAACGGCAACAAACTAACCGCTGATCTTAATGGAAATGGCGGTAGCGCGACCATGAGCGGTATGCTGCCCAAAGTGGAACCACCGCTAGAATTTGGACATGCACCGCCCACATTGGGTAGCACATCCATACTACAGGAAAAGTTGGCGCAAATTAAGGCCGAGCAGGAGAACGAAGAGCACTTATAGAGATGAATGAAGCCATATGGCATGTCGTTACATTAGCGGTACTAAAACGCTAAGGGGTGTGGGGGGGCAATTAATAATGGTGCTGATTGTAGGCTCAGTAAAAGGGCGCAGAGCCAAACGGCACCGACAGGCGTACAAATCTACCTAGAATCCAAAACAGAACGGGCATAGCAGTAGCAGCGAGGCACAGCGGCATACCCTCGATCTGCAGGCATGCTAGAGCAAAAGCTGTTGGGCGAAAGAAACTTCAACTTGTGGCACTCATCATGCCGAACGTTAGTTGGGATATGTACTCAGAGATCGGGATTGCCGATCGATGGTCGCTAACGGTAATCGGTTCAAACAGAAGTCAAAATTGAAGTGCGGCAATTTAAGCTCTTAGTATATAATTACCTAGCAACCACACACATGCAGCCATGCATACAATTAGTACATACACACAAGTATATAATATGCTAATATATTTAGGAGAAATTATGTACACAAGCGTACATACAGAACAGACATTTGTGTATGAATGAAATGTACAGTTTATACCCACACAACAAACAGGCAGACAAAGGAAGTTCATAAGGTAAAGAAGAAAAAACAAAAACAAAATTTAATTAATACATACAATAGCTGTAATACATATAAATATATATATGTGTGTGCATTTAGCTTGGAAGCGCATGTATGTATTTATAAATAATAAGAAATAAAATCAAAGTAAAGTAAAGTAAAGGGCGAGTGGGCGTAAAAAACCAAAAACAGCAAATAAATAATGGCTAACAGAGAATGGGAGACAGTGAATAATCAAAGTAAATAAATAAAAATGTGAACAAGCGATAATATACATACATATATCTAAGTAAAAGTATAGTAAAAATCAACACTAAACTAACACAAAGGCAAAGTAAATAGGTAACAGTAAAAATAATTAAATAATTATACAATCCAACAATAAAACAAAAAATTATAGTTATAGTATAACAACAAAAACAACATAGTATATCAGTTGCAGAGATCATAGATATATATAAATATGTAATATATATATATATATATAAAACAGTGAATGATCTTTGTATGATAAAACAAAAACAAATACAAAAAGAAACAACAACAACAGCAACATACTGAAAATTTTCTGTTTCGTTTTCTGACAATCGACAAATAGGCTCTCCTTGTACAAACAAACAATACAAAATGTAGCTAACTACATGCAAACTACATGCAAACAAAATAAACAAAAACAAGAAAATTAGGAATAAAATAGCAAACCGAATTAATATAATAATACAAAAGCTAAATCAAAACACGCAAAGCAAAACCAAAAAAACGAAAAAATAAATCAAATAAAAACAAAAATAAACTAAAAGAAAAATCAAATAAAACCATAAGCAAAGTAGAACAAACAAAAACAAAAACAAAATAAAAGGGAACACTGAAGACAAAATTCCAAGAAAACTATAAATAAATAAAAAAAAAAACATCAAGCTAATATGTATTTAAATAACAACAAAGCATATTACAACAACCATAAAACTGTTGAAAACATTTGCAAAGAGAGCAAAATTTCGCGCAGAATATGCAAACTAAAAAAAAAACATTTAATTTTCTTAGTTTTCGAAATTAACTTTGATTTCCATTACGGAAGTATAGGAGAATTCCAATAACCAAACACACCAGCAAATAGACAAAATGCAAATACAACAAATAACAGGATAGCTTGACTTGTAAAACCAATCTGATCCTAACAAGAAACCATATGCAACAGCAAATACAACAAACAATAATACCAAGCAACAGTAATAAGAATGAATGCAACAGCGCAGATGCAACCAGCAACAACAACAATACCAACCAGCCAATACAACAACAGAACAACAGCAATAAAATCAAACAACACGCAGTCTCAAACGCAGCAATAACCGCAATAGCAACAGGCAAGCAGCAACAACAGCAACATCAACAACAATAAGCAATAAACAATTAATAATAATAGAGGAAAACACATTAACATACAACAACAAAAACTCCGAAAAAAAAACAATAAACAAACCGTAATGTTATTCCAAGTTGTAAGGGCGAAGAAAGTGGAAGGAAGCGCAAACGAAAAAATAACGGTTTTAAAAAAATTTTGAAGTTAGAAAAACTAAGTATTTTCTCAAGTAAGAAAACGGAAATGCTAGGAGAAATCTGAACGCTTCGAAAACATTTCACAACTTCTAGATCGTATACGATATACAAGTGAATGTTCTCTTTAACTTATAATATAATACAAAAATATCTTGATGTTAAATAACAGTTATTCATACATGATTGTTCCGAAAATAATAGAAAATGGTGTGAAACATCTCTTCTCACCAAAAATTTCTAATTGTAATCATATACGATTTTTTCCACTGCAAAGAGTTTAAGAAACAGCGAAACGCCTTTTGTCATACTTTGGAAGAGTTTTGAATGACAGAAATTTATTCCACAACGATATTTAGTCCAAATTTCGTGCATATGAAACAAAGTCTAATACATTTTTAATGTGTACAGAAAGAACCAACATATTTGAAAAGATAAAATAACTTTTTTTGAACTTTACAACTCAGTAACTTCGTCTGAAAGTACAACTTTCAGTCCAACAATATTCTAATTCTGAAATTTTCACAAAGAAAAATAGGTTGTATTGACAGATATCGAAGAAACCCAGTTTCTACATCGAATAAAACTTCTTAAAATATTATTCCAAACACACAGACTAAATATTTTCGAAACCTAAACGACTTGGAAGCAACATTTCTTTACAATAGTTACATCATTAAAAATACGAATTGAGCAGCTAAAACAATGCAATAAACAAATTAGTCCATTACAGGTTAAAATCGCAGTTACATACCCAAATCCCACAACAGAACTCCATAACAATAGACTTCATACGCAAATTCAACTAAACAATAGAAATAACCTAAACAACACATAAAAAAAAAGGTTTTTGAGCATAGTTTCATTTGTAGCACACTGAAAACTTTGGATATTTGGAAAAATCTGGCATAAATTTGTAATACAAAAAAATGTGTTGCACAAAGGAAACGTATGCTCGAAAGGTCCTAACCGTATTTACTAAAGATTATTTAAATATTAAAAAGTAGCAAACTGTCGAGAAAAGTTAATTATCAAGAAAAAAATAATTAGAACATTTCAGAAATCCTCAAGACGGAAATCAATAAACAAAGCTGCCTTCACATTTACAAAAAGATCAAAGAAAAAACACAAAAAACAATTTAAAGGGAATATTAAAAATTTAAAATGCTAAAATTGCTTAGAAAAAATATTCAAATATTAAATTACACACTAAAAATAATTAGTAAGAAGTAATGAATGTTTCAAAGAAAAAAAAGCAAAACAAATGCATTTCCTTTTGCCGAAGTAAAGAAAAGTGATTTAATTTGCCTACCCAAGTAAAGAAAAAAGCCAAACACACACTTAATTTAGTTAAAAATTACACTAAAAACATTTTTGATGAAATTATGAAGCTTAAAATTTATGGTCAACAGATTATGGTGAAATTATATTAAAAAAAAAAAACTTTCGGTGTTATATATAAAAAATATTAAAAACATAAGTCAAACCAATGCGCATACATATAGATACATACATACATACATGTACATATTCATACCTATATAATTATGTATGTACCTACGGAAAATATATATTTAAGCTAAGCAAAAGTCTAAACAAAAACAAAGTATGCTAAATTAAATGTTCGGTGTTCGTATATCATGAAAAAGGCAAAAACAAAATCCAATTTTGGCATAGTAACAGTATAAGTTTATGCCTGACATATATAATTAAGCCAGAAAATTCCAAAATTTAAATGTATGTGTATGTAAAACCTTTAATGTATGATATGTATGTGTCTTAATGTCGAGTATACCTCAAAAATAACAGTACATCATCATATTGCATAGCACAGTGAAAGAGAGATATCGGCGTCAGCAGTTCAACTAATCAAAATTGTAAATTATTGAGAGACTTACGCTAAAAATTTATAAATGAAAATATGTCGTTTTAAGTGTTAACGGCTTTGGAAATGAAGTTTATGTGTAAAAAGGCATAAGTAAAAGTTAAAAAAAAAGTTTATTTTTCGGCAATAATTAGTGTGTGTTAGGGCAATTAAAACTTATTTGAAAAAAGCTTAAAAGAGGAATGTTTCAGGCAAGACTTTAATTAAGTTTTTAAATAAAGATGACATATTTTTACATTTTAAAAACAAAATTAGAAAAAACTATTTAAGAAAAACTGAAACTGTAAAGCAAATTGAAGGAAAATTAGGTTCAAAATCGTATACAGTAACTAAAATAATTTCAAAAGTTTTGAGTTTTATTGAAGAAATGCTAACATTTTCGAGACATTAAACTGCTAAATTAAACTGTTTCAAGGTATACTTTAAAGTCAAAAATACTTTTAGATTTTTTCGAAAACAGTAATAAAAAAAAATTTAAAATTTTTAGTTTTTGCTATCATTGCTCATTTTTTAACTAGATTATTTTCAAGTAAAAATTCTTAATAATGTTTATAATAAGTTAATAGGTGTTCTGTAATAAATTATATTAATATTTCAAACTTAAAATTAATTAATATATAACTACAAGTTGAAAATAATTTACAAAAAAATGTTTTTCCCAAA